GCTGGAGGACCCTCAGTTTGTTGAGAGTGTGCACGAGCAGGCTGAATCCTCCCTGCTGGAGTACACACTGAGCACCTACTCTCACCATATTGGACGCTTCGCTCACCTGCTGCTCTGTCTGTCTGAGATCCGCTCGCTCAGCACCCTGGCCGAAGACTACCTGTACTGCAAACACCTGAGTGGGGGGGTGCCCTGCAACAACCTGCTCATCGAGATGCTGCACGCCAAGCGCAGCTGTGCATGAATCAGAATCAGAATACCTTTATTTATCCCACTGAGGGCATTTGTTACAGCTAGAAAAGAGCCAAATACAGCCTAATGTTAAAGGTTCCCTAGTACAGGGGTTCCCAAACGTTGCCATGCCAAGGACCCCCATATAGCATTATCCTCTGGCGGGGACCCCCCTGTTGCAATCTTTTTTTTAAATGATGTGTACAAGTGCCTCCCGATGGAACATAGAGCGTTGCCACTACATTTGGGGCCTTCTGCCTGATCAAAGCTGTCACTCCGCTTTGTTTGCCTGTCATAGCCCCACTGCCCCATCTGAACACACACCCACACAACGAGACCAGTCAAGTCCGTTTGAGATGATGTACTCATCTAAAACTTGGAAAATGTCTCTTCATGTGGTCCTTCCAGTGCTTTGCAAAATAATATTTCCTCAACAAAGTTGTCTTCTGAAATAAATCTGATGTATGCAAACAATTCTGCGACATTTGCTACGTCTGTGCTCTCCTCCAGCTGCAGAGCGAAATATTCACTAGCTCTCACTTGCTCCAAAAGCTGAGCATACTCAGTTTCACTGTCAGTAGCGGCAGCTCGATTCTGATTGGCTTGAAGGTCGGTTGTGTGATTCAAAACAAAAAATATTAAAAGATTGGCATCAAAGGACACATAGATTGATAGATATACAGTTATTAATAACATCAACAACAACAAAAATTAAACTTAAAAAAAAAAAAATTCCGTTTCCCTCAAACTTTGCGTGACCCCCCTGGCGCCCCCTGGCACATGTTGATGTAGAAGAGACAAAAAGAAGAGGGGACACATGCTGATGTAGATGAGACATGAAGAAGAGGAGACACATGTTGATGTAGAAGAGACATGAAGAAGAGGGGACACATGTTGATGTAGAAGAGACATGAAGAAGAGGGGACACATGTTGATGTAGAAGAGACATGAACAAGTGGATTTTGCATAATAGGTGAACTTTAAAGTAACCCTGTCTCCTAGAAAAGTACATTCACCTACCATTAAACTGCATTCTCAATTAGGTTTTTCGATGGAAATGTATTTTGTGCTGGATTACGGTCACTGTTTTTAAACACATGGTTAACATTGTAAACGGATGCAGAACAAAAAGAAGATGCAACAGACTTAGTGGTTATGTTTAGGCATCCAAAGTTTGTGGTTTTGTTTCGTAAAACATCACGTTTTGGCTCAAAATAAGTATGTTTGATGCTTTATTGAAGTGATGGACACGCATTCAAAGTTATTGCTAACTTTTGGTTTGAGACAAGACGCAAACAGATGTTTTCTTCAAGTCATCATTTGCATAAACCATCCCTCCTCCACAACCCACCGCTCTGCAGACTCTGATCATAAAAATATGTTTGTGAAGAGTCAAAAACAAATGTTTTCCAGGACAAAATAAATGTAACTCAAAGCGTATTTCACAAAGCACTCTCTTTGTTTGAGAACATCATTTTACCAGAGCAAGCTGGAGGAACTGTTTCTCATATCTCGTTGTCCTCGCTGTAATCTTGACATTAATCGTGTGAATGTGTATGTTGCATTTTGTTCATGTTAATCACAACTCTTATTTAAATGTTAGGAGTTTTTGTTTTCGGGATTTCGTCAACTGTATGTCAGATCAAAACCGGGTTCACCTGGTGAATGATGATAGAGGTATTCAAAGTGTCAAGCATGCATTTTATTGGAAACAACCAATGGCTTCATCTGGCAGCTAAAACTATTCTGCATTCCTATACATGAGTTAATATTCGGACTGAGATGCGCTATGAGGGCATTGTTTTGTTGCGGGTTTGAATGCATCTTGGAGTGTATATTTTATTTGATGTTGTTCTTTTTTGTTTGACCTTTTAGTGTGGGTTCATATCTGTGTGTACTGTACTACTGCACAATGACATAAACACTGTCATTAAGCTGGTTTTCAGAAAGTTTAACTACCGTTTTAGGATTTTTAGAATACGAACATAATGCTTTTTCCCCCTAATATATTGATTATTTACTTATCTAGAGATGTATACCGTACTGTATTGTGACAGTTTTGCTCAGGAACACTTAGACACAGGAGAGTGTCTAACCATAAATGCTGCATATAACCTTAACTTGGACAGAAACACAAGCATGTATTTATTTATATACATGTGTAAAAGTTTTCTTACGCACCCTCTTTGTACGGTGATAATATGTTAGTGTTGCTTAAACAGCTCAATATGCTGCCCCCTAGTGGCCAAAAAACAAAACTAATTATTCGACGTAAGTGATAATCCAAAAGCCAAGAAAAATACACAATAAACCATCCTCTGGTGTGGCAAAAGGATTCAATCAGGTGTAATTACTGAAGCTGAATTGCAGTGCAGAAGCTCAAGGAGGCTGCTGCCATGAGACCTTTTTCATTAAACGCAGGTTCATTGCATTGCATTCTCGATGTGTTTGATATTGAGCTATGGAGAGCTACACACTGCCATCTGCTGATTCAAAACATGATCAGTCTCATGCTTTATCTCCCATTTTACTTGAAAGTGTTTCATCCTGCTGTACTGCTGCATGAACCACCAGTATAAGATGGATGACTTACATGACTTACATGAGAAACCTTGACATTAATCATACTTGGGAAAAAAGAAAGATACAATTTCTGCAGGTTTTCTGCTTTTCTATTCAACGCAGAGCGATACATATTTTTCTCACATACATTTTTAAGGCTTGGATGATAAAATAGCAATCTATCCATGCTCCACTTTTTCCACCGGATATGCTAACTGCACATATGTTGGTGCTAAGCAGGAAGTGTACATTGAGTTTTTTAAGAATTATTAATTAACCCTGGTGTTGTGTTCAAAAGCTGTTACCGTTCATGGTGTTCCCGGCTATCATCCAATATTGTTTTAACTACATCATAACTAACTTCTTATGCATTCATTACCGTGCAATCCTGTTGTAATTTTATTTTATTGCTCCAAAAAACATTACACCACATATTTAAGTAAAACATGTGATTCAATTCACTCATTATATTTCCTATAGTGAAGACAGTGAATCATTACGTTATCTGACTATAATAGACTAAGATTAGAATACAATTTCCCCTAAAAAAGTTTAAAATTATTGTTACAGTGGATTAAGGGGGTGGGGGAGGGGTCTCTATAGTCAAAGATGAATCTTGATTGGGTCAAATTTGACCCCGAGTCACCCACAACAATTCTGCTGGGTCTCCACAGACCCGAACACCAAATTATATACTTTTTTTTTAGAGACCTTCTGACTTGGCTAACATTTTCAAAATCAGGTTTGTAGTATAGCTGTTGTGGAGGATATCATGAAGCCTTGTTCTGATAAAAAAAACTAGAGCTTAGTTATTATAACATTTTAACTTGAAACAGGTCACAGGAGACCCTAACACAACAGGGTTAAAACTAAGCAAGGTGCGACCAATAACTGTTAGAGTGGTGAGACTGAACCAAGACATTAAAGTTGCCTTGGGAAAGATAAACAATGAGTTAACGCTCAGGTTAAAGCTCCGGGAAGCTATGGGCAGCTGCAGAATTGTGTAATAATAGCCATGGTCACATTGATATATAATATTATAGCTTTATTGTCCTTGTGTCAGGGTGCCATTGACTCGTGAGTGCTGGAATAGATTGTTCTTTGAAAATAGACCAATAAAAAGAATTACAATTATGTGTAGGTCTATGTGATGAACCCTGATGTTTTTGTCACTGATGTGTGTGCATTGTAACAACAAAAAAGGAATGCCATGTCCAAAGAATCAGGTAAAAAACCTCAGGTGTGAGGTTTTTCAGTATTTCCTGATTAAGGGCTTCTTATACTACTCCATGACTTGATGCTTGATGCTGATTCCATATAATAAAAACATATATTTCTAAACATAAGAAGAACAGTTGTGAAGTGACTGTACTGGGTCTGTAATTACGGGAGTCATGGGTTGAAACTATCCTCCGGTAGTGCCATTATTTACACCAATTTGATATACTGTATATTTCTTTATATTGCCTCATACATTTTCCTCATTGGGATAATAAAAGTCTTATTTATGTTATAATATCATTTTTTATCAAATGCATTATTTATAAAGCAGAACATGGAACTATTTAAATAAAGTACAAGTGCAAACCAGATCAGAATTATAGCTATGAAGCACTTGAAAGAATACCTTTAATATATTTATCCAGGAAAAAGCACCTCAACTATCGCTATTATAATGTAATTCACACGGTACTACCAACAGGGGGCGCTTTGTTACATTTAAGATGGACACACGAAGAAGTCGCCATGAGCAAAACAAAGATCGTTTATTTCAACAGAAGACCAAAGCTATCACCATGGAGACCATTCTCTCACAGACCTGAAGTGGCTGGTTTCCCCTCAAATAAACACTAGTGAAAACGTACAATTCAGCCTTAAAACTTGAACGGTTGTTTTCCTAAAGAATACAATCAATAACACTTGCGAAAATATGATATAAATACAAAAATTGCAGCGGTAAAGACGCTATTAGTGGCTTTTCTGTGGTCCAAAACGCGTTTCAATTAAATTCAAATAGCTTTATTAGCCTGACGATGATGACATACAGATACAGTATTGCCAAAGCTTTGTTCAATTGTGACATATACATAAATATACATTTGTAATGTAGTGTTAAATTCGTAAACACAAGGAACACTTCATTAAATCACTTTTTGCTTTCCTTTCAGCTGCGGAGTGAGACCTCTTGTTTTGTTTATACTTATCTTTGTTAGCATGCTACTTGACGTTAGCACAGCTGCTTTCTGAGAGAAAATTACAGTTACATTTTGGATTAATATCATCTTTCACGTAACGTTTCAAACTATGGGTTTACAAGACACGTTTTAAATTAATTCCTGCTAGCATCTCCTGTTTTGTAACGTTGTATTTAGCTTACAAAGCCTTACGTTCCTATTATTCTTGTTAGGTTAGCAGTACACACAGTTAGCAATGTATACAGAACTCAACAGTATCTTGAACACAACTCCTGACAGCTTCACACAGGTAAGGACACACAACCTTTTTAATTGATCTGTCATGGTAATGTGCACATGACCGTTATCTCTGTTAAGTTGTAACACGCTGTTATACGTGCTAACATTACTATGTGCAAGTTTGTCTTGAGTCTAGAATCTAAACTAGATAAATTATGCTTGATATTTGAATATGCTTCAAGAAAACAAAAAGCCTACATCACAGCTTTCCATAGGGTTTAATTTATTTTTTAACATAAATGTGTTTACAGAGCTGTAAACACATTTATGTTTAAGGAATGAGCTCTCATTCCTTAAAACAGAAGCCTCATTTTGCTTTTAATAAAAGGAAATATGAAGGGTATATTTCCAGCTTGTGATGCAAATAAGTTGTTTGGCTTTTTTTTATCAGCTAAGATTCCTTAGAACATGTTTTCAACTTTAATTGACTGCGTTTATTTGAAAATTGGACTTATTAACACATGAATACTGCTGTGTAATACATGTTTACATATATATTTAAGAAGTAAATATACAAAAGTGTGGTTGTCCTTTTCTACAGGGAGAATTTGTTTTGCTATCAGACAGACAGAGTGATGCCTCTTTCCTCATTCACCACTTCCTCTCTTTGTACCTACGAGGTGAGTTTGCACCTGGCATTGCAAAGTATTATCAAAACAAGATTTATTTTGTATTTATGTGTGAAACTGATGTCTCTGTTTTTATTTCAGCACGCTGCAAAGTGTGTTTTGTGGGTCTGGTGCAGTCCTTCAATCATTACAGTGCCATCAGTCAGAGAATGGTGAGTCTTCCTTCTGCTAAATTCACACTGAACATTTCCACTGTTCAAAGATCATTTATTCTTTATTTGGATTCCTTAATGGCAGCTGCGCTTCTTGGGGCGTATACACAACAGAGCATAACACAAACAAAAAGACATACTTCAAGGATTCCTCCATTATTGAACCCCAAATTAGCACTGGATAAAACCATACAACTATTTGTCTCCCATCATATGTTCAGTCAAATGCTACCTAGCTTTTATCTTTTTGGTTTTAATTGTAGGTATGCCCTCACTGGATCTACGGGTATCTGTAATGTCAGATCTTTCCTTTCTGCACAAGAAAGGTTAATGTTCACTTCGACCAAAAGTTATTTTTATTCATATTGATTGAGTCTAGGGTTCACTTGGTTGATAAAGGAGCTTACATATTTTGACCTTTTAATATTGCTATCTTAAAGTGAGGACATTCATTGTGTGTGTATCTGTGTGTGAATTGTGTGTTCTCAGGGTGTTAGCCTAACACAAGCGAAGGAAAAAGGTCAGCTGGTTTTCCTGGAGGGACAGAAAGAGTCGCTATCTGTTTTGATTCCTCAAGAAAACGACACAGGAAGTCAGGCCATGGACTTCCTCAGGTACAAACTCAAATAATCACTATTCATGTTTTACCACAGTTTGTTGCCTCTCTCTCATTCCTCTGTCTGCTAGAGGTGGGAAGTAGTGAAGTACAAATACTTCGTTACTGTACTTAAGTACGTTGTTCTGGTATCAGTACTTTACTCCACTACTTATTTTTCTGACGACTTTTTACTTTGACTTCTTACATTTCTAACACAAATACCTGAACTTTCTACTTCTCACATGTTGAACACAAATACCTGTACTTTCTACTTCTTACATGTTGAACACAAATACCTGTACTTTCTACTTCTTACATGTTGAACTCAAATACCTGTACTTTCTACTTCTTACATGTTAAACTCAAATACCTGTACTTTCTACTTCTTACATGTTGAACACAAATACCTGTACTTTCTACTTCTCACATGTTGAACACAAATACCTGTACTTTCTACTTCTTACATGTTGAACACAAATACCTGTACTTTCTACTTCTTACATGTTGAACACAAATACCTGTACTTTCTACTTCTTACATGTTGAACACAAATACCTGTAGGCCTACTTTCTACTTCTTACATGTTGAACACAAATACCTGTACTTTCTACTTCTTACACGTTGAACACAAATACCTGTACTTTCTACTTCTTACATGTTAAACTCAAATACCTGTACTTTCTACTTCTTACATGTTGAACACAAATACCTGTACTTTCTACTTCTTACATGTTAAACTCAAATACCTGTACTTTCTACTTCTTACATGTTGAACACAAATACCTGTACTTTCTACTTCTTACATGTTGAACTCAAATACCTGTACTTTCTACTTCTTACATGTTCAAACAGGCTGGTTCCTTTAGTTTGAATGTGTGTTTGGTGGCGTGATCATTATTATTTAGAGTCATTGCGTGCCTATTGATTTGAACACGATCCGTGTATCCATCATTTCCTGGTCTTCTCTAAAGAAGAGGGACCAATGAAAACGTTGTCATGTTGCCGTT